CTGTTGGCCTAGTGGATAGAAAGTTATGCTACCAAATCAAAGGTGGGTGATTTTAATCTGTGGCACTCAGGCCTGGTTTTGTTTTTGGTCAAACATTCTTCTAAGTGGTATAGCACTGGTCGGTCCATTTGCTGTACAGAGGTAACTTGTGGTTGCTGTGATGTTATACACTGTGACACTGATGTGTCAAATGCTATAATAGCTACCCATGGTGGACAGTGTTTAGTGGAGCTCTCCAATTAAAACAAGCTTGGAAGCAGGAATGGCATCCACTTCCAAAATTGCTTGCCTCTGGAAACTCTGTGAATGTGGAAAAACAATGCAAGTTATACAGGTGTTTATGTCTTTCATTCAGAGTTGCTATAGGTCATCTATGGCTTGACGGCACTTAACAATAACATACGTGTGTGTGTGTGTGTGTGTGTGTGTATATATATATATATTTCTATTATTAATTTAGTATCTCATCCTGTGTAAAGCCACTGCTCTTTAAGGTCATTAAAAAGTAATTTAATAAATTATTGTTTAGTTTGTTATTGGCATAGCATATTGGTGGTTGCCTTCGTGTAATAAATAGTTTATTTAACAACCTGATAGACTAGTTTATATAGAGTTTAAATGTATAATGCATTGTTTTTTATCCTATTTAAATGTTTTAATGCTAAATTGTTCTTTTTCCTTGTTTCTGTTCTTTCACCCAACCCACAAGTGTTAAAATATCTTTTTAAAAATACATCTTGTCTTAATAGCTGTAGTAAGTTTACATATGCTGTTCATAAATATGACTTGTGTTTCTACTCTAGTAATAGTACTTATTTAAAAAATAGTCTCAAAGTATTGCTTTTTATTTCTAAGGGCAGCATCAACTTCTGTATTTTTTATTTTATCTGATTATTTTTCTTTTTTTAATTATGAGTTATATGTTAACATTTTAAAACCTTAATCTGTGTTGCTAGGTGACTGTTATGCAGAAGATTCGTTCTGAATACTTAACTAATCCTGAATTTGACCCATCTAAGATTGCAAAAGCTTCTTCTGCAGCTGAGGGTCTATGCAAGTGGATCATGGCTATGGAAGTGTATGACAGAGTTGCCAAGGTATTTTGAAGATTAATGCATTAATTTTCTACTAGTGTAATTCCAATCTTAGATAAGTTCCAAGCAAAACTTTACTTTCTTTCTGTATATTAATGCAGCCCCAGAAATTAAAATCTATGCATATATTTACTAATGATGTCTTTTCTAAAAGTGAATCCAGGAAGGCCCTGTCCTGAGACAGTGCAATCATCAGACACTGATTAAGTACCTTCTGGGTATGTTGCCAGGAGGGATCAGTCCTTAGAAATGGACACCATTCTTGGAAGAGTGGAAGGATGGCACAAGAGAGGGAGACCTTGGATTAGATGGATTGATGCAGTAACTGTAGTAATGGAGGAAGATGTAGTGGAGAAAAATGAAACTGGCTCAGGATAGGGCAGGATTTAGATCTGTTATACATAGGTTCGCAGTGAGTCGCAGATGACTCGACGGCACTTAATAACAACAGATGAAGTTAATACGGTCTGTACTCCGACCTAGTTAGAGTTGTGTAGGTGGTAGTTGCATTAGCAATAAGGAAACACTGTTAGACATAGCACTGGAGAAATGAAAAATTGAGGAGGAACAACTACAAACACTCTTTAGTAACTGGATTGTGGAATGTAAAAAGTATGAATTTAAGAAAATTAAACATCATCAAAAATAAAATTGAACATGTAAAAAATCAACATTCTGGGCATCAAAAAGGGAGTTTGGTGGCATAGTGGTAAGTGCTGAAATCCCAAAGGCATGTGGTTTGAATCCACCATGGGAGCAGGGATGTTGATTGGAATTGACTGGACTGACCTCTGGCAACAAGGATCTAGACAAAGGGGAGGAGTGAGCAAAAGCAAAGAAAAATGTAAAACTTCCAGGACAAGCAGCACACTGAAAATAGAGTAGATCTGGAATTTTAAAAATAGGTAAGACTATTGTGAGGCTAGCACAAGATGGAGGAAGGTTTAGTTCTGCCTTACTTGGGGTCACTGTGACTCAGAGTTGACATGGCAGGGAGAGGAGGCAGAGCCTATGGACGTCCCCTGAAGCAAAGATATGCACCGGTCATTAGCCATTTATGGCCTCTACAAATTGAGATCAAATCCCTGGAAGAGCAGAAACTCATTAAGAGCATTTTATAAATTCAACTGGCAAAGGACCAGAAAGATGAATCTTGTCCTTTAGAGTTTACAGAGTTAATCTCAAGAAAGCAGGAATAAAGCCTAGGTGAAAATACATGGTAGCACATTTCTAAAACAAGCCCAGAGGAAAGAATAAATGATCAGACTGCAGCAACTGAGAAAGGAGGTACAACATGTACCTGTAGAACAGTATGAGTCTTGCTAGTTTTGAAGCTTAGACTGCCCTGGTGGCATAGAGTGGTAAATGCTATTTGAAGGATGAAGATGTGGTGGTCTGCTCCCATTAAGATTTATAACCTATTGCATAGTGGAGTGGACCTGGGGGGGAGGGATTGTAAAACCATGAAAGAATTTTTCTTTTACTTTTCCAAGAGGGTAATGTACTTGGGGGGAGGGTTGGGAATGGAGAAAAGTGCAACAATGAATGAATGGAAATTCAAACTCTCTGTAAATTGTCATTGAAATTAATAATAAATTAAAAAAATATTTCTAGCCTATGCATAGTGGAGTGGACTTGAGGGGAGGGATTGTATAACAATGAAAGAATTTTTCTTTTCATTTTCAAAGAGAAGAGCGAATTTGGGGGAGGGAAGGGTGGGCAGGGAGAAAAGTACAACAATGAATGAATGGAAATCCTCTGTCTTTGTAAACTTTCATTAAAATTATTAATAACAAAAAATATTTATAGCCTAGGAAATTGGATGGGGCAATTCTAGTCTATGCTATAGGTTCCCTGTGAATCAGAATCCTCTCAAGTGACAATGGATTTGGGTAAATCTAGTGAAGAAATAAAATGGATTTTATCTGGGATACATGTCTGTTGAACTTCTCATCCTTCCCCATAGTTATTTCATGGCAGGTGGGCTAGCTCTCAATTCAGCTAATTTCTGCATGTGCTGCAGAGCACATAGAATCTCTAGATCCCTACACAGCACAGAAACCAAGGCACTCAGGCTTCCCTCTGCCTGCCTGCCTTCCACTTCCACACTGCCTTTTTGATTCTGAAGCAGTTGTCCTGTGTTAATGCAGAAGAATTGAAGGGAATCATACAGCAAGTTACCTTTGAAGTCAAAACAGAAAATAAAGCTATCCAGGGTCTATCAACATTTTTAACACTGTCCTGGTGGCATAGAGTACTAAGGTGCTGACCGAAATGTTGGCAGTTGAAACTTTGGGATTTTATGGACATGGGCATGAAGAAGAAGGCACATTGATGTATTTAACAATACCTATTATTCTTAACAAGTTGTTGTTGTTAGGTGCCATCAAGTCGAGTATAACTGATAGCAACCTATGAATAAAAGATCTGAAACCAGTTCTGTCCTGCACCATGCTCACACTTCTTGACACACAAGAGCCCATTGCAGCAGTCAAATTGTCATTCTACCTGGTTGAGGCACATGCAAGAAAAATCTTACTGAAGATTATCCAAAAATGACTGGAATGTAGTACATCAAAAGAGAACTACCAGAAATACAAGCTGGATTTAGGAAAGGCCAGGGTAGTAGGGACAGCATAGTCAATGTCAGATGGATCTTAACTGAAAGCACAGAGTACCAGAGTAATGTCTATCTGTGTTTGATTGACTATGTAAAGGCATTTGACTGTGTGGATCACAACAAATTGTAGCTAATCTTGAGAAGAATGCATATCCCAGAACACTTGATTGTGCTCATCCAAAACCTATACTCAGAACAGAGCAAGGAAACACTTCATGGTTCAAAATCAGGAAAGAAGTGTATCAGGGATGCATCCTATCTCCATACTTTATCAATCTATGTGCAGAACAGATCATTCAGGAAGCTGGTGTTTATGAGGAGGAATGTGGCATCAGAATTGGAGGAAGACTCCTCAATAATCTGCATTATGCAGATGACACATCCTTGCTTGTGAAACTGAGGAGGACCTGATTAATTTGCTGCAGAATGTCAAGGACTGCAGTCTCCAGTATGGATTGAAACTCAGCATCAAGAAAACAAAGATTCTCACCACTGGGCCAATTGGTAGCACCATGGTAGATGGAGAAAAGATTGAGATTGTTAACAATTTCTGCTTACTTGGTTCCAAAATTAACACCCTTGGCACCAGCAGTCAGGAAATCGAAAGATGAATTAGATTAGGAAAGTCTGCTGTCAAGCACCTGTCCAATAGACTGGGAGCAATGATATCAGTCTAGAGACTAAGATGTTTCTGACCTAGGCCATGTTGTTAGGTGCCGTCGAGTCGTAGATGACTCATAGCGACCCTATGACAAAATGCCTGAACACTGTTCATAAAGTTTCCAGAGGCAAGCCATTTTGGAAGTGGATGCCACTCCTGCTTCCAGGCTTGTTTTAATCAGGAAGCTCCACCAAACACTGTCCACCATGGGTAGCCATTATCACATTTGGCACATCAGTGTCACAGTGTTTAGTATCACAGCAACCCTGAGTTACTTCTGTAGAGCAATGAACAGACCAGTACTATACCACCTAGAGGAGTGTTTGACAGAAAAACAATTTGACCAAGGCCTGAGGGCCACAGATTAAAATCATCCACCTTGGATTTGGTAGCAGAACATTCTGTCCACTAGGCCAATGTAGCTCTTCACAATTACTTGCGATGCATCAGAGAGTTGGACAATGAATAAGGATGACAGAAGAAGAATTGATGCCTTTGAGTTGTGGTTCTGGAGAAGAGTATTGAACATACCATGGACTGTCAAAAAGAACAAACAGGTCTGCTCTGGAGAGAGTGAAACTAAGATGCTCTCTGGAGGTAAGGATTTTAAAACTCTTTTCACATACTTTGGGCATGTTGCCAGGAGGGACCAGTCCTTGGAGAAGGACCTGGCAACAATTACCCAGTCTAGAATCATTTACATATTTTTATGAAATGTATAGGTACTTTTAAAATAATTTGTGTTGGAATTTTGTAAATAAACTAGTATGTTGTTGTTGTTTTGTGCTGTTGAGTTGCCTGCAACTCATAGCAGCCCGATGTACAAGAGCCCTAAACCCTACTCTATCCTGTGCCAATCTTATTGTCTCTGACTCACCTAGCCCCATTAACCCAGTCACTGAATCAATCCATCTCATTGAGTGTCTTCCTTTCTTGTGCTGTCCCTCCACCCTCCCAAGCATTACATCCCTCTCCAAGGACTGGTCCCTCCTTGCAACGTGTCCGAAGTATGTCAGATGAAGCTTCAAAATCCTTGCCTCCAAGAAGCAGCCTGGTCTCACCCTCTCTAGTATGAACTTGTTTGTTCTCCTAACAGTCCATGGAATATTCAATATGTAACATAGAATGTATATGAATGATTGTATAAAACACATGTAAATGAAAGATTGTGGACCCTTGGCGGAGCCTGTCTGCAGGCCTGCCGAGGAGCCCAGACCGCTGCAGCCACAGCTCCTAGAATCAAGAAATTTGCCATCTACCGATGGGATCCAGATAAGGCTGGAGATAAGCCTCGCATGCAGACTTATGAAATTGACCTGAATAAATGTGGTCCTATGGTGTTGGATGCTTTGATCAAGATTAAGAATGAAATTGATGCTACCTTGACCTTTAGAAGATCGTGCAGAGAAGGCATCTGTGGCTCTTGTGCGATGAACATCAGTGGAGGCAACACTCTAGCTTGCTCTCGCAGGATTGACACCAACCTCGATAAAGTCTCAAAAATCTACCCTCTTCCACATATGTATGTGATAAAGGATCTAGTCCCTGATTTGAACAACTTCTACACTCAGTACAAATCCATTGAGCCTTATTTGAAGAAGAAGGATGAGTCCCAGCAAGGCAAGCAGCAGTATCTGCAGTCCATAGAAGATTGGGAGAAACTGGACGGGCTCTACGAGTGCATCCTCTGTGCCTGCTACAGCACCAGCTGCCCAAGCTACTGGTGGAATGGAGACAAGTATCTGGGACCTGCGGTTCTCATGCAGGCTTATCGCTGGATGATCGACTCCAGAGATGACTTCACTGAAGAATGCCTGGCCAAGCTGCAGGACCCCTTCTCTCTGTACCGCTGCCACACCATCATGAACTGCACAAAGACCTGTCCCAAGGGTCTGAATCCAGGGAAAGCGATCGCTGAGATCAAGAAAATGATGGCAACCTATATGGAGAAGAAAGCTGCAGCTTAACTGCTTTTGTGCTTTTTCTTTCCTCCCTAACTTGTGACCAGCTCAAAGCGGAACATAATTTATATCTATTTGAGCTCCTTCAAGGTCTTGATTTTCCATGGATACAGCATGTATAATCAACCACTTTAAGAAATAAATAAAACATTATTCTACTTTATTAGCAAAAAAAAGACTGTCTAAAACAATGTATGTGAATGAAACATACTGTAAATTTATTATTATATGAAAATCAATAAAAATATTAAAAATAAAATATAAGACTGGTGGTAAAAATTCTTATTCTGTGTAATTTATTGTGATAATGCATTCATAATTCATAGTATCTATAAAGGAAATATAAAGAAAATACAGTATCTATAAAAATATAAAGTCCACATAAACTCTGTCTTGGAAGGAGGAGTGACATCCACTTCCATAATAGCTTGCCTCCGGAAACCCTATGAACCTGGAGAGAGGATGAAAGGCACCCAAGCATCGAGGACTCTCCTTCATAGGGTCGCTATGAGTTGCCTGCGACTCGATGGCACTTAACAACAACAACAACATAAACTGTCAGGTTCCCTAAGCTGTAAAATTTTTTAAAGATTTTATTTGTGTGTGTGTGTGTGTGTATGTATTTATTTTCTTGTTGTCGAATCTGATTTGACGGGCACAGGAGGAAGTTTCACCTTTGGTATTACCACTAGGCCACCAGAGCTCCTTCCAGACTTTAAATCTTAATGGAAAAAGACTATCCCTCTTTCCCCCAAGGAACCACAGGTGGATTCACACCAGCAGAGACACTCTCCATTTGGGTTAGCCATGCAGCTTGCTATGGATGCCACTAATGCTCCCCTCAATTTAGATTTTACATATACACTCTGTGTACCTTGTTTCCAAACAGGTGGTGGCTCCTAAGAAAGCCCGTTTAGCAGATGCTCAGAAGTCCCTAGCTGAGACCATGGAACTTTTAAATGAAAAGAGAACTGAACTGGCAGAAGTAGAACATCATCTGCAAACATTACAAGATATATTTAATGAGAAAACAGTGGAAAAGGCTCGTTTAGAAGACCAAGTGGAACTTTGTGCTAAGAAACTTGAAAGGGCTTCACAGCTAATTGGAGGACTGGGTGGAGAAAAGTCAAGGTCAGATTTCTACTCATTTCAGCACGATTTAAGAATTCCAATAAGCAGATAAGTGAGCTTTTAGAAACTTTTCACAGTTAAAGATTTTAAATGGCAGGTTGAGAATATTGAATATTCTGCATGGTGCCTAGCCTAGCCTCTAAAACAGGAATGACAGTCAACATCAAGGATGGTGACTGTACCTTTGTATCAAATTGTTCTGTCCCTTAGCTAAAAAGGCAAACAAGGCCAATGATAACTTTTAAATCTAAGTAGTGAGTATGTGGATGTCCATTGTATATTTTCCACATGTTAAAAATTTTTTATAAGAAAGTATTTGGGAGTCAGTGGATTCATGACTCTGTTGATTAAAATTTATATCCAAGAACATAGAGCTATTGTTACCTAACAAACCTAGTCAGATTTATTACAACCTCTGTAGACTGGCCAACCACTGATCTCATTTATTTATTTGTTGAATGAATTGCCTGATAAGGGAATTAAGCCTTTGGCAATATTTTGTAATGCTGACTAGATGATTTTGGAATGTGGTTTTTAATGATAGGAGTTTTATTAAGGGGTAGAAATATTAACCTTAACAGTATTGGGTAAATTTCTATACAATTTAAATATAATTTTTAGTCTTGGACTAGAAACAAATGTTCCTATGTTTTACAGCCTAACAGTGACTACCAACAGGACCACTAGATAGAATCATCTTGAGGAAAAGTTTTAGTCAAAATGTTGGTCTTTTGTTTATTTGTTTTGCTTATTCTGAAGACTTAAAGTGGCCTGTAAGAAATGCCTAATATCCTAATAATAAAAGTTGGATTGTCTTGCATATATCCATGTAGCATTTTAGAGCTGGAAAGGACTTAGCTATCTCCTTTGATGAATAAGCAAACGCTCAGTATTTCCTAGCTTTTTGCTCAGAATTTGGCTCAGAGGTCTCTTGCTTTCAATAACTGCCTCTCGTTATTCTCTACTGTGAATCTCTTTTCTCCTTGATTAATGGTACAGATGGGCTCAAGCAGCAGCTGACCTTCAGATAGTGTATGAAAACTTGACTGGGGATGTCTTAGTATCTGCAGGAGTCATAGCCTACCTTGGTGCTTTCACTTCTGGCTTTCGACAAACATGTGTACAAAACTGGAGCATGTTGTGCAAGGTAATGGTTTTATATTTAATAAGCTTTTGTGATACATTGAAGGTACTTTTGGGATACTTTGTGGAGGGGAATAATATGAGCAGAGATGCAAAGAATGCACTCAAAAGAATGCATTTTTTGGGGGGTTTCATTTGTTCAGGAAAATACTTTCATAGCTCACTTTCCATTCTGGGTTATATTATTCTGTTTCTTAGAGTTACTAGATGTTGTTGTTGTTGTTGTGTTATTAAGTGCTGTGGAGTCGTAGACTACTCCTAGCGACCCTATGAACGAAAGACCTGAACACATGTATAATTTTCATCGTTTCTCCAAGTTCATAGGGTTTCCAGATGCAAGCTATTTTGGAAGTGGATACCACTCCTGCTTCCAAACTTGTTTAATCTGAGAGCTCCACCAAACACTGTCCGCAGTGGCCCACAGGCCTGGTTTTAATTGGGTTTTTGTTAAACATTCTTCTAAGTGGGTTAGCACTGGTCTGTACATTTGCTATACAAAGGTAACTTGTGGTTGCTGTGACACTAATGTTTCAAATGTGATAATGGTTACTAGATAATGTTGTTGTTATGACTCATAGAGACCCTATGTACAACAGTCCTAAACTCTGCTCTGTCCTGTGCCAATCGCACTGTCTCTGACACTCCCACCCCGATTGCCCCAGTCACTGAATCAATCCACCTCATAGAGGGCCTTCCCCTCCTGCGCTGTCCCTCCACCCTACCAAGCATGATGTATGTCCCTCTCCAAGGACCGATCTCTCCTTACAACATGTCCAAAGTGTGTTAGACGGAGCCTCAGAATCCTTGCCTCTAAGGGGCCGTCCGGTTTAACCCTTTCCAGGATGAATCTCTTTGTTTTCCTAGCAGTCCATGGTATCCGCAGTACTCTTTTCCAGCACCACAGCTCAAAGATATCAATTCTCCTATCCTTCTTAGTCATTGTCCAACTCTCTTATCCATAACAAGTGATAGCAAAGACCATGGCCTATATCAGACACACCTTAGTCTCCAGAGAAACACCATTGTACTTTGGAGAGGTCCCTAACAGCAGACTTTCCCATCACAATACGTCTTTTAATTTCCTGGCTAGTGGTGCCAAGAGTGTTGACTGTGGAGCCAAGCAAACTAAAGCTGTGAACAATCTCAATCTCTTCACCATTCATCCTGATGCTGCCAATTGGTCCAGTGGTGAGAATCTTTGTCTTCTTGACATTGAGCTTCAATCCATATCAGATCAAGAGCTGGACAATGGGAGATAGATGTTGAAGGGAGTGGGGTCGAAGTGGATGGGTATCCTGGTGGATGGTGGAGCAGGGAAATAAGTGGGTAAAGACACGTGTGCCAAAGGCAGGGCAACACTAATACTAATGGTTAACTCCACAATAAGGGATAAATCTTGCACTTTTTCTGTAAAATGCTGGTCTGTCTGATACTTCTCTAAATCTGAACATTCATATTAAGATAGACTAGGAAGAAGGATTGGCCATCCACTTCTGAAATAGCAGGCCTCTGAAAACCCTATGTACAACATAACACATGTACTAGATAATAGCTGCTGATAATAATTAATTTTAAAAATATTTAAATCAGTAAAATTAAAGAATACCTCTGTATCTATCTTTTTATTATTTCTTACAGGAGAAAAAGATCCCATGTTCAGAAGAGTTCTCATTGAGTCAGACCCTCGGTGACCCAGTGAAGATTAGAGCTTGGAATATTGCTGGGTTGCCAACAGACATGTTCTCTATTGATAATGGAGTGATTGTCGATAACACTAGGCGTTGGTAAGAAACAAATCTTTTCCCATTCTTTTTGTTGTTGTTAGGTGCTTTTGAGTCAAGCACGATTCATAGCAACCCTATGAATGAAAGATATCAACCCTTTTCTATAATCATAGTCATTACTCTAGTGTTCATAGCATTTTTGTTTAAGAAGTAGATGTCAATCCTGCTTCTAAGTCTGTCTTAATCTGGGAGCTCTACTAAACCCTGTCTACTATGGTAACCATTATGGCATTTGACACACCAGTAGCAATTTTTTCCTTTTTTTATTTAAAAGTTTCAAAACTTTTTAGTAGAAAAACTAGAAGAATTTTGTAGCAAGCACCCATCTAATTAATATTTTGTTGTTTTTGCTGCTTTATTGTATATCTAGCCATTCCTCTATCCCTTCATCAGCCCATTGTCATATACATAATATTCTCCTATGTTAAATTTCAAGAAAGTTATACTTGCCCCAAAACATTAATAAAGTACAATATTTGGACTTTGTCTTTTGAGATAAAATTTACATAGAGTGACCTACATAAAGTTTAGCTAAAACATTTGATGAATCCTAATGGGTAGGGAGATGCACTGCCAGCCTGCAAGTAAGCAGTTTGAATATATCAGCCCCTGCATGAGAGAAAGATGGGCATTCTCCTTCTGTGCAATCTACAGGTCTGAAAACCTGCGGGAGGCTCAGCTACGTGTTGGTTCCTCCTTGACAGCAATGAATTTTGAAATTCTAGGGGTTTTTGTAACATAACCTCTGTTGAAATATGGAATATGACTGTTATCCAGAAAGTCCCTTTTATATCCTTTTCTAGTAAAATCCCCTCGCCAGTCTCCGAAAACCCACTGGAGGGTCAGCATATAACCAACCACAACAATATTTTATATAAATGGAATCATACATTTGTGGGTGTGTATGTGTGTTTGTTGTATGTGTGTGTAAGACTTATTTCATTTAATGTAATTTTTTAAGATTCATCCACTTATTGTATGTTCAAATACTTTGTTTCTATTTTTTGTTGTATTTCATTATGAGTTTATGCATTGTCCTATTGCTAAAATCCTAAGCAAATTCTAGTTTTTGGCTATAGTATATATATTTTTTATTTGTCTGAGTTGTTATGTGCCTTCTAATCAATTATGACTCATTTCAACCCCATGAACAATGGTTCTGAACCTTGCCCTATCCAAAGCCAGTTTCACCTTTTCTGACACACCTGACCCCATTGCCACAATTACTGTGTCAATTCATCTCATCCAGGGCCTTCCTCTTCTGCACTGACCCTTCCAAGCATAATATCTTTCTCTAATAACTAATTACTCATGGCGACATGCACAAAGTAGATGAGACGGAGCTTCACTCTCTCTATGAAAAACCTATTTGTTGTCTTGGTAGTCCATGTTATATGTTCAATACTCTTCTCTGGCACAACAGCTCAAAGGCATCGCTTCTTCTGGCTTCCTATTCATTTCCCAGCTCTCACATCTGAGTATTTCTACTCATTTCCAAAATACTGTTAACTTGGTGATGTATTTTTTCAGTGCTATAATTATCTTATAATGTTATTAAGAACTTCCCAAATTTTAAATGTTATCCTTTTATTTATATAATTTTTAAAAACTTGAGAAACTAATCTTACTGAAGAACAGTTTCCTATAAGTGATAATTTAAGTCATGCTATCATCTAATTAAAAAGTAACGGTGGGGTTTTTTTGTTTGTTTGGAGGGGTTTTTTTGAGACTTAGGGTTTCCATTTATTCATTGTTGCACTTTTCTCCCTGTCCATCCCTTACCCCGCAGTTCACTCTTCTCTTTGAAAAGTAAAAGAAAAGTTCTTTCATTATTATACAATCCCTCCCCTCAAGTCCACTCCATTGTACAGCCTTCATTCTGGACTCCTGTCATGAGAATAATACCTAATCATATATCCCTTTTAAACAGTCCTCTCCCACATCTCTTTTAATGTAGTATACATTATTTATCCCCTTTTTCTCAGTCTTCCCTCAACCTCGATGTCGGTCCCATTTTTTTTCTTTCTTAGTTGTTTTTATTTTTATTAATTGACATTCTTTATTCATTGTCCAATTCCCCTCCCCCATTCATCCATTGTACTTTTCTCCCCTCCCAACCCTCCCCCCTAGTACACTACCCTCTTGGAAAAACAAAAGAAAAATTCTTTCATTGTTTTACTAACCCTCCCCCAGGTCCACTCCACTATGCAGCCTTTGCTCTGGGCTCCTGTCATGACAAAAATACCTAATCACATATCCCTTTTAAACAGTTTTCTCCCTCATCTGTTTCAATGCAGTATACATTATTGAACCCATTTTTCTCAGTCTCCCCCCAGCCCTGAGGTCATTCCTGTTTTACAACAGTGGCACCATGCAGTATTTGTCCTTTTGTGACTGAGATACTTCACTCAGCATAATGTCCTCCAGGGTCACCCATTTTGAATAATATTGCATGAGTTCCTTGTTTTTCAATGCAGCGTAGTATTCCATTGTGTGAATATACCACAGCTTCTCTATCCATTCGTTTGTTGATGGGCACTTAGTTGTTTCCAACTCCTGGCTATTGTGAACAAAGCTGCAATAATCATGGGTGTGTATATATCTGCTTGGATGTCAGTTATGGTCTCTTTGGGATATATTCCCAGTAGTGGAATTCCTGGGTCAAATGGTATCTCTATTTGCAACTTTTTGAGAAAGCACCACACCATTTTCCACAGTGGTTGCACCATTTTACTCTCCCACCAACAGTGAATAAGGGTTTCAATTTCTCCACAACCTCACCAGCATTTGTTGCTTGCTGTTCTGTTAAATTTTGCTATTCTGACTGGTGTGAGATGATATCTCAGAGTTGTTTTAATTTGCATCTCTCTTAGAGCTAGGGATTTTGAACATTTCTTCATGTGCTTGTTAGCCATCTGAATGTCTTCTTTGGTGAAGTGTCTGTTTATATCCTATGCACATTTTTCAATTGGATTATTTACCTTTATCTTGCTGTGGTGCTCAAGTATGGCTCAAAATCAAGAAAAGGGTCCATCAGGGTTGTATTTTATCTCCATACCTTTTCAATCTGTATGCAGAACAGATCATCCGAGATGCTGGGCTGTACGAGGAGGAATGTGACATCAGGATTGGTAGAAAAATCGTCAACAACCTGCGTTATGCAGATGATACAACCCTGCTCGCTGAAACTGAGGAGGACCTGAAGCACTTGCTGCAGAAGGTCAAGGACTGCAGTCTTCAATATGGATTGAAGCTCAGTATCAAGAAAACAAAGATTCTCACCACTGGACCAATTGGCAGCATCAGTATGGATGGTGAAGAGATTGAGATAGTTAACAGTTTTCGTTTACTTGGTTCCACAGTCAACACTCTTGGTAACAGCATCCAGGAAATCAGGAGACGAATTGTATTGGGAAAGTCAGCTGTGAGGGACCTCTCAAGAGTACTGAAGTGCAACGATGTCAGGCTGGAGACTAAGGTGTGCCTGATCCAGGGTACAGTCTTTGCAATTACGTGCTATGCATCAGAGAGTTGGACAGTGAATAGGGATGATAGAAAGAGTATTGGTGCCTTTGAGTTGTGGTGCTGGAGAAGAGTGTTGAATATACTATGGACTGCTAGGAGAGCAAACAGGTTTGTCCTGGAGAGGGTGAAGCCGGAATGTTCCCTGGAGTCAAGGATTCTGAAGCTTCGTCTGACATACTTTGGGCATGTTGCTAGGAGGGACTGGTCCTTGGAGAGGGACATCATGTTTGGGAGAGTGGAGGGACGGCACAGGAAGAGGAAGACCCTTGATGAGATGCATTGATTCTGTGATGGTGGGAATGAATGCGTTTGAGACAGCGAGGTTGGCACAGTATAGAACGGCGTTTAGGGCTCTTGTACATAGGGTTGCTATGAGTTGCAAATGACTTGATGGCGCATAACAACAACAACAAATCTTATATGTAATTACCAAATATTTTTTCCCAGTCTGTGGCTTCGCTTTTTACCCTGTTGGAGAAGTTTTTGGATGTGCATAGGGATTTGATTCAAATGTGCTGTGATAAATATTACTGGGTTCTTAATATGCATGAGTTATTATTATAAGTGCCCTCCATCCTCTAAATACTCCTGTGGGTCAGTTATCAAAACCATGAGGAAATTGAAAGACAGAGTAATTTCATAATTTGAAATTTAATAAGATCATTGAGCTAATAGTTAATAGAATCTGAATCCAGGGAACCTTAAGTTCTAAGTCTTTGCTCTTAATTACTGTGCTAGAATTAAAGACATCAATACTGTAGTTTTAATAAAATAAACTGTGTATATATGTATAACAATAGTTTGAGTGTTTACCCACTAAAAATTTTATTTGAGAATAAACAACCTTAGACTAAAACTACTAAGAAATTTAAAAACTTACTATAACCCGAGAAAAAGTTTATTTTAGCAATTTTGAAAGTGTGCTTTCTTGGGTAGAGGAGGAAGAAAGTTGTATTTGCAAGCTTATTAGATCTTTGAGTCATTATTAATTCAGTTTTATAATTCATCTTTGTAATTTGATGGCCATTCAGGTTTTTTAAATGGTAGCTCAGAAGAAGTAGCTGTTTAAGATGCCTATAAGACTTAATTGAAATTTGAGGAAACCAGAGGTTTTTGATTAAAAGAGTTTGTCATTTTCTGGCAGAAAATATTACCATGATGTTACTCTTTGGGCATGTGGGTTTTTTGTTTTTTTTTTTGTTTGTTTTTTTTGGACTAGTTGGTCAAAAACATCCACAGACTTGATGAGTTCTGGAGCTCAAGTCTTTGTCCTTCTAGTCCTGTGTAGATTCCATTCTTTGCCTAACAGGCCCAGTGTGGTCATCTGTGAATATTATTTGTCTTGACACCAATATAAATAGGCACAGAATCTCCTCTCTGAACTTCCTGGCAGCAAATTCAATAATATATCTACTGTTCACTTTTTTTGCTTATTCACTCCACTTCCTCAACAATATGACTTTAGAAACTCTATGAACTTGGATAAATGCCAATAGTTGTAGAGGGGCTTCAGGCCTTTTGTTCGTAAGTTTGTTCAAGTTGTGCTTGACTCAGAAGCAATCAACAACAACAACAAAAGTATTTTAGAGAAAAGGTGACTCACCAAGGTCATGAAAATTGCAGTCATTGTAGCTGTTGTAGCTCTCTTTCCTGTAGGACTGTTTTCTTTCTTATTCTCTGTGCTGCTGCTTTATTAGTTTATCTTTTAAGGACAAACTGGCTCTGTTTCTCTTTGCTCATGGCCAATCACTATCAAAGACTCAGTGCCTGAGTTCATAAAACATACCAATTGAACAATGTATACCAACCTGAACTGTTGATACTAATTCTAGTTGTTATGAGAGAAAATACATCTGATGTAGCTTGGAATAAATATCCACCCTGACTAGGGGTTAAACAATTATAGTAACAAGCATGGCTATCGGAGGCTGAGAGTGCAGTTTTCAGAGAAAGAGTTGTGTGAGAGCTGCAAAAGCAGTGACCTTCTTATAGTTAAGGGAATTCTGATGGCATAATCCATAGTAAATTACACTGCTAATCCAAAGATTGTGTGTCTCTGGCTGAAAAAAGTTGGGCATTCTCCTCCCATTGCAGTTTAGAGCCTCAAAAACCTGATGGAGGATTGCTGTAAAAAGAATTGGGATGGCTGCTTCTGACCACTGTTTACTTCACAAGGGGGCACAGTCTCTTATCAACCAAATCCACAATATAAAACCAGATCCCATAAGGTCAGACATGGGCTCTATGCTCCTACAACTACTTCTAATTCTGTACTGTTCTATGATTGAGTCTGAAATCTGTTGCAGTGACCACCCAGACATCGTATAGAACCATATTCAAGGGTATGGGTATTTATTAGGGAAATTAACAGGTTACAATTTAGGTTAACAGCAGAATAGACTTCCTCAGTAATTTCAACTTCTCAACTCCCTTTAAGCCTTCAAGCTTGAGGGTTTAAACCCATGTTATGGAACTTTTTTCAGTCCTGCAAATTATGGCATCTCCCCTCAATCCTCCATCAAGCTGAGGTGAATGAAGCCCCTTGGCTATGCATCCACGAGGCAGCAGTCCCAAATCAGCTCTGTTATGTCAGTCTCTGGTTCTCCCCTGAGGTTACTGGTGCTCTTGAGTAGGTCATGAGCTGACAAGCACAGGAGTCTCTGGCCCCAAAGGATGTGCACTGTCTTCTTTGTTGCTTCTTGCTGGTTGTGAGAAACCCACCTTCTGCTGTTACATCTGCTCAGTTTATACCTAGTGAGATGGGAAAACTAACCAATCACATCACAATTTGCATATATACACTCTGCTTTATGCTTCTTTCTAGCCCTGTGGTGAAAGTCAAAGCCATTTTGAACAATAAACCCGGGACACAATAGTTACCATGTGAGCGAGCGTTTACAGTTAGGACTTTGATGCTCGGGTGTTTTTTGTTTGTTTTTTATTTTTACATATGATGAAATGTAAGGATTAACTTTACTTATTTATTTTATAGTGATAGCCATTTAAACCAGCACTGAATAATATATAACTCTTCACTAATTTGCAAGGCTATATTTGTTGCATGCTTGGTGCCTCTGTGTGTTTCCATTAATAGTCTCATTATTATGTTCTAGTTTTCTACCCTTGCTTCAATGTCATATGATCTTAGTGTCAATGGTTTAATTAGTAAGCCTTGCCGTCTAGTAAAGAGAACTATCTCATCCAAGATCCCATGTTCTTGAGGTGAGTGGGGCAGTGAAGACATTTAAGAGCCTGCCCCCCTCACCCTAACTGTGGGTATTTCAGATTCAAAGTTCAACCTGGATTGACTGAGTATTTTTATTTCATTGCACTGCCTCTCGGCTTTCCTTCTACCAAACCCTGCTGTCAAAGATGCACAAATTCCAAGAGTATTCCTGAACAAACTTCCTGCATGACAGGCTAAATCTCAAAATCTGTTTTACAGACTTGCGATATTTGCCTTTTCAGAGTTCTTAGATTCTTACTCTTCCTATGGATGTTAGAATCAGTTTTTCCATTTCCATGAAAAACAACACTAGGATCCTATTGCATTTAGAGATCATTTTGGAATGAATGCTGTTTTTACATATATTGTTGTTGTTGTTGTTATGTGCCATTGAATCAGAACTGACTCAGAGCTGAACCTCCAGTAGGTTTTCAGAGGCTATAAACCGTCTTTCTCCCGTGGAGCAGCTTGCATGTTCAAGTGTTTGTGTTGTTTGTTTGTTGTTGTTAGATGCCATTGAGTCTCTTATGACTCATCTCAACACTGGGCACACAAGAAAATGAAACGTTTATCTGCTCTGGTCCATCCTCACAGTTGTTATGTTTGAGCTCATTCTTGGAACCTGTGTCAGGTCATCTTGTTGAGGGTCTTTCTCTTTTTGAGAAAGAACAATGTCCTTCCACCAGAGACTAGTCCTTCAATATAAAACATCAGAGTACATGAGATGAAGTGCTGCATTCTGGCTTTCTTTCATCCAAGAGAGATTTGTTTGTTCTATGAGTCTATGATATATTCAATATTCCTCACCAACACCATAGTTTGAAAGAATAAATTGTATGATCTTTATTCACTGTTTGACTTTCACATGCACTTTAGACAACTGAAAAACTCCCTACTTTGGGTCAGATGCTTTGTAGTTCTCAAAGTAACAACTTTTTTTAGCACTTTAAAGAGGGCCTTTGCAGCAGATTAGGAGCCCTGGTTATGCTAACTTGACTGTGAACCAGAAAAGTTGGTGGTTGGAACCCACTAGCTGCTCCACAAGAGAAAGATGAAACTGTCAGTTTCTACAAACACTCACAGCCTTGGAAACCCTGCCTGTATGTCAGGCAGTTTCACCCTCACATGTAGGGTTGCTGAGAGTCTGAATCTATTTGACAGCATTGATTGCTATGCTTCACGTTTGTCAGTTATCTTTTTATTTTCTTATATTATTGTCAACAGTTTTTTAAAAATTTATGTACAGTCAAATTTATTATGTATTTTATTGCATCCAGATTTTGAGTCATATATAAGATTATATTAAGTAAAAGTTTGATTTATTTCACTATACAAAAATCTCTATTTATTAGACATTAGAGAATGTTAATTTACAAATATTGTCACCCATTGCAGGTGAATGAACAAATACTGTATTTTTCCAGTAATAGTTTCTAGGTAGGAAAACCAGATTTCTTTTCTAGGCTTAATAAAGGTTAATACAGCTCAAATAACATCCAGTCTAATTACTAGCCTAATTTTAATTGGTTGTATGCAAAATAATTATCACTTTATGTCATAGTTCTGTCAAAATTGTTGCAAAAAATTAATTTTAACTGGCATTTTTGTGCTTGCAGTAGGATTCTAGCATATTTGGTGCTGAGGATGAAAACACCAAGTCATCTAGTGCTAGTGCTTTTTTTGGGGGGGGGGGGAAGAAAATAAAAGAATATAGTTAGCTAGGAGCAACAGCAATGTGGGGATGGCTGAGTCTGACCTCGACTAACACCACAAAGGGGAACTGTCCCCATCAAAATCTACGGTGTAAAACTCATCTCTACAGGGTCAGACTTGGTCCCTCATGTCCCTGCACCTACTTCCACTAATTACAGCATCCAATATTCATTGCAGATGACCACACAGATTTACAAAGTCTCTTTTTACTCACAGTTGTAGAGTTTATTAGAGAAACCGATTTGGGAGAGGAGAGAGGAGAAAGGCAAAGGATATCACAGTGCAAGTCTAGATTCAGTCAATAGCAGTCCCAAGCCAGGTCAACAGCAAGACACAATCCCTCAGTTAATCCAGACAGCTTCTCAGTCAACAGCAAGGCACAGTCCCTCAATTAGTCCAGACAGCTTCTCAGTCAATAGCAAAACACAGTCCGTCAATTGAGGCAGCTTCTTGGTCAACAGCAAGGTACCTCAGGCATAGGAATTTCTGATCCTGAAGAATGCAGGCCATTTCTCTATAGGTAGCTGGCTTGAGTGAAAGATAATTGTGTAGGGAAGCCAAGTTTTTAGTAAGACCTACTATACAACACTGAGTCAAAAGCTCTGTTCTGCATCATTTCTTTTTGTTGTGGTGATGGTAGTAACTATATGTAACTGCCATTTCACCATTCTCCAAGAATATTTTTTTTAAAAAAAGATAAGGTGCTGAGCTAAATATCAAAGGCAACCATCACATTCAGCAACATCTTTAATGAAGGGGAAAAAATTCATAATAACAAAAGTTATATTTTTAACACAGTCTTTACCACATTTACATAGAAAAACTATAAATATATAAACAAGGAAGCCTAGTGGTAAGAATCTGTGCTGCAATCCCAAAGGCACACAGTTCTAAATCAGCTACTTTGCAGGATAAGGATAGGAAATCTCTTCCCGTGTGATTACTGCCTCTTAAAACTCACCAGAAGTTCAGCTGTGGGTTGATTCTGACTCAATGGTACACAACAACAATATTAAACTTAGATACTCCATTTGTGGGTCTACTCATTGGCTCAAAAAAATCCTGTATGGGGTAGTGGAGCTTTCGTTTACAGTTTTTATCAAATGTTATTGTAATATAATTTTCATATTAAATTAGCAGATGTCATATATTACAATTATCATGAAGACAATTTGTTATGTTAGAAAGAATGCAGTCACTGGTTCACGAAATCCTTCTACTGACATTAGACTAGTTTTGTAAACTTTCGACTGAATTTCTTTATTTGACAGATAAATGGGACTAAAACTCCCTTCTATTTTTGTTTCACAAGGTTTTTGTGAAGATTAATCTTGAATAATGCATGTAAAATACCTTGTAATTAGATAAACTGGTTTTTATTATTTAAATGACATATTAAGGAATCTAAACATTTATTTTTTTCACACTTTTTCTTATTATATTTTAGGCCTTTAATGATTGACCCCCAGGGTCAAGCCAATAAGTGGATCAAAAATTCTGAGAAAGAGAATCAGCTCAATGTTATTAAGCTTTCAGATTCGGACTACATGAGAACGTTGGAAAACTGTATCCAATTTGGAACTCCACTTCTATTAGAAAATGTTGGTGAGGAACTGGATCCATCTCTGGAGCCTTTACTACTGAGACAAACTTTTAAACAAGGTAAATACAATCAATAGTAACTGGTAGAAGTGAACAATTACTGGATTACCTGAGCCAGTCTGTGTGTTAGTTAACTGCACCACATAGAGACTCAGCTTTTCTAGAGAGAATATAAACAATTGAGATAAGCCTGAAATTCCTCTAGCTTGTGACCAGGGACTAAAGAAATCAATTTTCTATGACTTGTTATAGTGACTAATAAAGTTACTTTTAGGTAAACTATTGCCCAGATATATTCTTGTTTAAAAAAAAATCTCTGCTAAACGCTAGAACCTTCAACAGCTTTACTAATATATGAATAATTTTGGAATCATGATTGAAAATCAGCAGGTAAGAGAAGCTCAGAAAGAAATCTTACCAGGCTTCATTACAACCAGAAAAGGTGTCCTCTTCTACCCCAGAATGAGTCTGGGTGTTTAATTGTGTACTTACTTGACTTACTAGAATATTTTCAAGTACTTTATTATATTAATTTACTTTTGAATGTGAGAAAATATAACAGTGAGGCCCTTTTGTTGCTTCCAATGTTTAAATTGTCTCTGCCTTTTGCTACATCTGTTTTCTATTTTATATTACTTTTGTTGTTTTTGTTGTGTACCATCAAGGTGGAACTTAACCATAGCTGACCTACCAGTGGATTTTTAGAGGCAGTAAATCACATAGGAGGAGATTACCAATTTTTCTCACATGGAGTAGCTAACAGATTTGAACCATGTACCTTGGGGTTGACAATGCAGCTCCTTTCCACTACATCACTAGAGCTCCAATTACTTTCTTTTTAAGCTGGGTAAGGTCATAGAGGTATCTAAGCAGAGGAACTATGAAATTTTATTTCTTTGTTGTACCTTTGCTTTCTGAAATACAGGTGGCATTGACTGCATGAGACTTGGTGAAGTCATTATTGAGTATTCTTTTGATTTTAAATTTTATATTACAACAAAACTGAGAAATCCACACTATATGCCAGAGCTGGCTACAAAAGTGTCCCTGCTCAATTTCATGATAACTCCAGAAGGACTTGAAGATCAATTACTAGGTATTGTTGTTGCAAAGGAGAGGTATGTATTTTCTTAGAGGCATCCAAATGGTCTAACAAGGATAATTTATAAGCCATTGATACATTTGTTATATGATTATTTGTAAAATGCCAATTTTCATATATTAAGCTAAATGATTATAGGATATTTTAGTATAACCATTCTTTAACATTAACTTCTAACCAACCATGCTGTATTGATTTTAGTATGAGTAGTATGATTCAGGGGAACTCTGGTGACATAGTCTGGAGAGAGTGGCCCTGCTGACCCAAGGCAGCACCTCTCTCATAGTTCAACCCCACAAACAGCCCCATGGGAGAAAGATGGACAGGCTCTTGCCATGCAATTTACAGCCCCCTGAAAACCTGCAGGAGTCATTTCCAATTTGATGGCAATAAATTTGGTTTTTTTAAATATAATTCAAATGCTATAACTCCTGACTTATATCTCTGTGTTTGAGCCAGAACTTTTTCCCCCAAGAGTCAATACTACAGACATAATTAGACATGCATTATAAGGTTTATACAGAGGATATAAATGAAATGAGGAACTTATAGTGTGAATAATATTTTGAAAAATACTAATAGATGGATATATGTGTATACACACACACACACACGACTTGAATCTTTATCATTGAGTCAGAATTGACTCACCGCTGACCTTCCGTTGTGTTTCTGTGGCTGTAAATCACCTGGAAAGAGACTGATTGTCCATCTTTTCCCTGAAGCACTGCTGGTGGATTCAAACTGCAAGAGAGGTTTGGTCTTTAGGTTAGCAGACTACAGACTATGGCTGTATATATAAATATATATCCAAAACTTGGAAGGACTACTAAGAAAGGATTGTTTCCTGAAAGAAGAATTTGTTTCTCCTAGATACTTAATATAATATTTTCTTTTAAAAAA